AGGTTATATAATGAAATTAAGCTTTGTTAACTCCCTTCTGCTACATAACAGACAGTATACATATACAGTACATACAGAAGGTACAAAAGGTTATAACATATTGTACGCCAAATGTAAAGCCATGTTTTATCTACTGTTCTTTGAAGAAGAATATGAGTGTTTGTATGTTTTTATTTTGACCACTATGTAGGCATTTTTTCCCAAACAATTATTAAAATTTTTTAATTTCCTCACCAGACAAGACAAGAGGTGACTTTTAGAAAACACTTAAAGACACATCTTTGTAGACAAACATTAATTAGCAATAAGGTTTTGCAGGTTGAACAGGTTTTGTGTAATTAGAAGAAATTTGCATTCTTCAGATTTCTGTGGTATTTTATGGTCTATGTACTGTGTGTGTGTTTTATTTGTTTTTTAAACTTTAAAGCACTTTGTGACCCCTCTTCACTGTGAAGGCTGCTTTATAAATAAAGTTTACTTACTTACTTCTCCACTTAAAAGATGAATGGATAGTTTTTATCAACTGCTAATTGGTAATGACTGTATTTTCAGGTGGCAGTCCCCATAAAGGAGAGTTTTCCAGGTCCAGCATTCTGTCAGTGGACTCCAGTATATCCATACCATTCAGCCTAGACAGTCTTGGTCCAGCTGCATGTATCCCAGAGAGGACCAGGTGGGCTTCTCCTTTATCAGATACAGAAGCTATACAGAGTGAACGCAAACTGGCACCCTCCTCCCAGCCTGATGAAGACGCTTACCCCTCCACACTGCAGATCAACCAGCAGCAGAGGCTCAGCAGCTTAACCAGCAGCAAGAATACCAAGCAGCTAGGAGACAGGTTTGACTCTGGCCTCTCGTTAGCTACCAAGGCTAGATCTGGTGATAGAGACATGGAGTCACCCTTGCAAACAATCCGTAATATGGAGGACAGCGCAGACTCTTCTTTTGAAAGCTCCAAGGTCTTGTTGGAGATACGTAAACTACTCTCTCAGGCAGAGAACGTGGTATCTGCTGGGTCTTCATTGACTTTCTCAGCTGACACTGCAGTACCCCGTATTCTCTCTGATGATGACATATTCCTCTCACTGAGGAGGAAAACCAGCGGAATCCAGGACTCCTCCTCCTCTGCTACTGGAGATCCCAGAACTCAATCCTCTCTGCTGTGGGCCAGGTCCTCGTCCGACTCCATGTTGACCTCAGAGAAACAGAGAGAACGCTCTATTGATCGAGAGAGTCTGACTTCATCAGGGCAACTGAATTATCCATCCATGCAAGCTCTTGTTACTGCACCGGCTACAGGAGCACACAGAAGGCCACAAGATAGCACTGTTAGTAAAGGTGCAGGGTCGTCACTTGTCCTCTCCCAGTCAGCCCGGCGGACAGAGCCTGAGGGCTGCAGTGCTGCTCCCCCTGACAACGCTGTCCCTCCACAGCCACCAGTCATCAAGCCTTCACCAGCTTTGAGTACACAACAGCTCACCTCTACTCCTACAGACATAGCGGGTGTCACAGAGGAGGAGAAACAGACTACTCAGGAAGGTCCTATACAGAGTAGCTCCTCCTCACCCATCCTCGAGGACACTGATCAGGGAGTGTTGAGTGACGGGAGCAGTGACAGCTCGCTGGCAGTCAGAGTGGCCAAGTTACTGCAGAGTGAATCTCCGGCCACCATGGTGTCCAGTACTCCCAGCATCACTGACCAAGAGGAGAGCAAAGCCAGAGGTAAGAGGATTCACATGTTAAAACAATACACCATAATCTAGAGTGATAAGTTTACATGGTGAAATGCGATTAAAACTTCCAAATAAACCTTTCAAACAACTCCTGCAACATAACTATCTTCCTTGTGGTCCACCCTTGTGCTAAGACAGCCTACACACTCTCGTTGCTCACACACCACCCAGTGAGAAAAACTCTATACCAGCTTACTCATTGGTGAAGTATATTAACATACTGTGAAATACACTATCTTGCACGAATAAACTATCATCTGTATGAGCATAAAGGTTTCTATGTTGCAGAGTGGATTAAGATGAAGCTATCAGGACAGCAGTGTGAGTCCCTGGAGTTGGACAAAGAAGACAGAAGGCGTATTGAAGAGATCAAGAGAGAGCTGCTGTTAAAAAACCCCATAAAGGTAAAATTGCTGATGTAGCACTCTCTATCAATGCACTTCACAAAGCAATCAGTCATAATTATAAAAGCTTGTAGTAAATTAAACAGTAACACATTTATATTTTAAACTTGTTTTTTTGTGATTTTGATGTCTACCGCCAATCTATGGATAGTCCAGGTGTCATGCCTAAGGTAACTGGTGTGTTGCAGGCATGGTGTGTTAACAGGTGCATGCTAGACTTAAGGAGATATGGAATTTTGACTTTTTCCAGTGAATCAGTCTGCAGTGAAAAAAGCTTTTATATGGATCTTTGTTGTGGATGAAATAATTCACAGGATAACATAAAATAAAGTTTCTTGCCTGGTCTCACATTTTGTTTTTTTGCGTCACCTTTCAGAGTCACGGGAGCACAGATACAGAGAGCAGTTCAGCATCCAGTGTCAGAGTGCCAAGGCGGCAGGATCTGCCTCAGCAAACAGACACATTCTCTTCCCTCTGTGATGTTAACAACCAGCCATCCCAGCCTCTGCAGGGCCTTAGTACAGATCTCTCCAACTCCAACTCCAGCGTGCAGCTTCAAAACCCTCTTCGCCCAGATCTAGAGACTCAAGTACGTGAGATCGCTGCCAGAGAAGGGGTAACCCTCCCTAGGACAAACCCTCTGGCCCTCACATCTATCACCATCGCCACCCGCAGGCGCTCCACGTCCCCCTCTCCCTCTATGTCGACTGCGCCTCCCATCAGTCCAGGATCAGAGCCACTCCACCTGACTGAGCTCTCCACAGGAGCAGTGCAACACCCTAAAACTAACAGGCAGCTACCCCCTACCATGGATGAAGAAGATAAGACAACCAGGGAGCCAGCCTTAGTGTTTGAGCCAAGCAGTAGTCTCTACACCAGAAACCAAAACCTCACATCTCAGTCAGCACCAGGGAATCAGAAGAGGCAAGATGCTGTTGGAGGCCAGTTTAAAGAACCTCCCCCACCATCTCAGGGTTTAGTTACTGTGGGTGTAAATACTCAAGATGAAAACACACAGTCTTTCAGGCGAGATGACGAGTTATCTGTCCAGGACAGCTCTGTTTCTGGTGTTGGTCATGAAGCTGAACAGGCCACTGGTTCGTCCACCTCTGAATCTCCAGCTGGGACCAGTCACGTCTCACATGTCCATCTCACTCTGTCCCACAAAGCCACTGATCACAGGTTGGCCACTGTTGTCCACACCAATCATGCTGATGCCACCACTGGGCTGCCACATAAAGAATTTGTTCCCCTCCGGCATTCTTCTTCTGCTGCCAGCAGTCCGGACGAAGGAGTCGGTTTGTCCAGTCCACCAGAGTGGTATGACACCACAGAACCAATAAGACAGCGGAGACCTGAAAGAGCCGACACCTCCACCCTGTTCCATACCGCTGTGCATCAAAGGATGACCTCCCCATCCCCACAATCATATACACCGTGTGAAAGAGGTGTAGTTTCACCAAGACCCTTAACCACTGAAACAGCAGGTAGGCCTGTTCTCAATTGTACGTATGGAATATAATTATAACAGTATATAATAAAGACTACTCGTGTTGTTTTTAGTTCTGTAAAAGTAGAGGTTTATAGTTTTATAATACAGTTTAACTTCATTGTACTTTTTATCAAACTATTAATGAGGGCATTCTGTTCCAGAGGTTGGATGAGAACATACAGTTTATTTGTGTTTTATAACTTTTGCTTCCAGGAGATGGTGAGATTAGTATGGCAGTGAGAAAAACAATTAGAGCTTATGGTGTGACAGCAAAAACAGGTATTTGCTGTTCCACCGTGAAACACCTTTTTAACTCAGGCTACATACTTTGATGCTGCATTCTTGGTAAAATTAGATCATAAGAAATGAATGTCCACACAGCTTTATTCTACATGATCCGTGGTAGATAAAGATAATTGTATGTTCCTTCTCACCTTTTCTCTTACAGCAGTGCCCGTTCTGTTGCCTTATAAACCCCGTGGCAGTGAGGAGCTCTTCTACATCCCTCAGACAGAAGCTGACTTCTACTCTACCAACCCTTCTGACACCACCATGGAGAGCTCCCACACAGGTACATCTGTCTCAAATATAATTTTATAATAACTTAGATCAGAGGTTTTCAAAGTGGGAGGCGGGCCAAACTGTTTCAGGGGATGCTCAGTGAATGGAAGAGCACATAGAATAGCCTAAATGTGTGTGATTTAGTTAAAGAGAGTTTAGACATACAGTAGTTTGGGAGTCAGAAACTAAAACATGCTTAGGACAGACCTTTTTCATGTATTTGGTGTAGTATGAAATTATCTCAAACAGCAATTTTAGGCTATCATGGCTCAATTGTTGAGTGTCTATGGGATTAAATAACATAATCATGATCCCATATGAGCAAGTAAAGGGGGTGCTTTTTTCCAAGCTTTGTCTTGTTTTCAGATCATGGTAAAACATTAAAATGTGGGTCTCACAGGTAAAAAAACCCCATGAGATTAATGTAGACTCATACCAGTAGGAGTTTAGTGTGGGGCGGCTGGGACAGGACAGTAAATAACATATTTCTCATATTTGGTAAGGTGCATTGAAGAAATCTGTAATACTGTTGATTGTTAAATGGTAAAAATTTGTGGGTAAAAAAATCTACACATAAGAAAAAGGAAGAACCAATGGAGACAAATTGATCTTGAAAAAGACATATTCAAAAATATCAAATAATAAAAAAGTTAGTCAAATTAAAAAGACAATTGCGTTGTCAGTTGAATCTGCGATGAATGAGGAGGCTCTGCTCTCATTTCCCCTGTGCCTGTGTGAGCAGCTGGTCTATTGTAACATAAACCAGGCAGTACATTAATTATACATGTTCGGGGGCTGAGTGAGACAAAGAGAGAGCTGGAGCCCCAGCAGAGAGACGGAGAGAGAGGGGGCTGCGTCTTCGAATATCTACTGTTCATTACTGGCTGAAAATGAAGGATTTTGGTCACTTCCAGCAGTATGGTTCATCTGTTGTCTCAAATCATTATAAAGTAACGAGCAACTTTTGAATTCTGGCTAGGATCAGATGACGCTGTGCCCCCACGCTTCAGCAGTGAGGTCCTCGGGCAACGAGACCCGGGGTTGGACCGTGGAGTCACCATCAAACACACAGAGGGCATCTACAGCAAAAGGTTGAAAACAGCCACCTTTAAAATGCACCAGCCTGGACACAGAGGTGAGCTGAACATACACATGATCTGTGTGCACACTCACTGTAGTTACTTCCTCACTTTCTTTGTTGTGACATCAAATGTTGAGAAAATAAAGTCTTTCTGGTTAAATTTGAAAAAATGTCAGTCTGGTCAAATTAAATCAATATAATAGGAACTTGTGCTTATTAATGCAGAAAAAATTACTTTGGGAAGATGTGAGAAATAAAGCAGGAGAAGATTGTTTTGTGTGAGCTCTCAAGGCTGTAACTGTGTGACGTAAAGAAATATTTGAGAATTTCATTTTCAAATTAGGATTGTGTGTATGTAAATTTGTCTGTGAAGTGACTTAATGTTCTGTGTTGTTTGCATGTTTTTTCTGTATGTTTGTGTACATGAGGCAATGAATAATAAATATATTGTTTAGAAAAAGTCTGTCCTTTCCAAATTTGCCTATTGTCTCTCTCTAATTTAATAGGTGCCTCTTTATCAGCAGATGAAACCTCACAAACAAACGTGACACGAGCTCCAAAGCCATCTTCTCATGTATCAGTTGATTTTACCAGAGTGCCTTTATCGAGCAACCAAGACGCCTCCAAGAGAGACCAGGGGACCAGTGCAGTGCAGTTCCTCAATTATCAACCAAAGTCAAGCCGTGAGACATTTCAGCTAGTAAATGTGGACATGGACCACAACAAGGTGAGCCATCACCTGGACCAAAACTGTGTCCCTCAGACAAGAGGGGACGCTGACTTGCCTCACCCTGCTGCCCAGCAGAGCAACAGCACTCTGGACCAGCTGTGGCAGAAGTTCTGTGATCAGTGGAGGCTAGAGGAGTCCCGACCGACCACTGACCGAGAGGCATCACTGCTGGAGCGACTAGAGCGCCTGTCCCGTCTTATTCAAAGCACAAGGGCTGCTAACACGTCCGAGCTACAAGAGGAGGCACACTTTCATCCAGAAGAAAAGCCAGGAAGGAGGGGAGAAGATGTTACAGAGAAAGAAAGAAAGAGGCAAATTGGAGAGGCGAACAGGAGTTTAGGTGGTGAGGTCAGAGAAATGGAGTGGAAAGTCAGAGGAAGGAGAACAGTTGAAGGTAAACCTCCCATCCCTCATCAGGCCTGGACACAGAGGCTTCAGGTAGATGAAACTTCTCAACCTGCAGACGAGGACAGCCGTGACTCCTTCACCTCCAGCTTCACGCACGACTCCGAGAGTCAACACCTCTGTCCTGCAGACAGAGACGAGTCAGAAACCTTGTCCGCCATGTCCAGCTCTATGTCCACTGTGGACACAGCACGGCTGATCCGAGCCTTCGGAGCTCACAGAGTCCAGCACCTGAAGACGGGCTCCAGCCTCAGTAAACTGTACAGCACCATCAATAAGCAGAAAGAAGGAAGGGAACAGAGGAGAGGAAGACACAAAGCCCCGCCTCACATCATCACACTGTCAGAGACCACCGGCACTGATGATTCCACAGTAAGTAAAGTGATACCCTCATTCTCATTCTGAACTAAAGCTACTATTACTGATGTATACATGTACCAGTGCAATAAACAAAGCTCTTTCTGGCCTTCACCACCCTTCAAAGCTTGAGGACTTGAGAAAAATAAAAGTAGGCTTTATAGTAAATTGTAGCATTGGACAGCACCAGAACTCAGTACACTCTTCATGCATCAGCACTATTTAAAAAACATTTTAATTTACCAAAATGTCTTTATTGAAAAGATCAGTCAAAAATATGGTCTTTTTTTGACCAGTAAGATATCTTGATTCAAAATGTGCCAGTTTTGAGCCATTACATTTCACAAAAGAGGAACTTGAAGATCTTTCAACAGTCTATGAATTGCATGTCTGACTGGAATGAATTAATAAATCCACAAAAACCTATGTTGGAAATCTAGGTTGCAGAGGTGTACCCAAAAGGTCCTTTTCGCACCAGACATTTTAATTTATATAATAGGAGAAGTGGGTCTGTTGTATTCAGATGTCTCATTAAACAGTGACAGTTTGACGGTGAGCCAGCATGAACAATACAAGGATGCTGAAACTGAAGCAGCTAAATGGAATTCCGCCTTTATTCATTTATTATTTACACCTGTGCTTTTTCTACTGTGTCAAACTGTCCTCTGTGGAAAAAGATGAAACTGACACACAAATTCTAACTTTTTGATGTCATTGCATTGGTCTTCAGGTTGCTGCTGATTCTGCATCATCAACCAGCACTTACACCCTCCCATCACACCATGGCCCCACCAGGACTCTGGCAGCCAAGAAGGCTGTTAAACTGGTCAGCAAAGGAATCCAGGCAGGTCAGAAAAGAGCTCACTCAGATTGATAATTTAGGATTTAGGATGATTTATTTGCTTAAATTATTTGGTACATTTCTTAGGTTTTGTTTAATGTATTTGGGGTTAGAAAACAAACCAAGAAAGATCTATAATGCGCAAAATATTCCTGTATACATGATGAATCACTGAGTTACTGTTGTGTTTCCTTAGTCAACAATAGATTTGCAATACAGAAAATAAATTTGTGTGAAATTGTCACATATTATTGTACTGGCCCGAATATAAGTCAACCCCACTGTTCCAACACCAAAAGACTTTCAGACTAGTCATGATTTCCACAAGTTTTTGCTCTTCGGGAATTTATTTACTTTGATACACCCTGACACACCATAAGAAACTCTCTTATGTTAAACTAAGCTAAATAAATTTCCACTAAAAGACACACAATAAACTGACTTGAAGAAACTCATTAGCCTAACAACATTAAGGCTGTTAACAACCCATAATGCATCTCTCTGTAGAAGCTGCTTCTCTCCATTTAAAAAGAATATCTGCTTGTCCTCCAAAATAAGACGTCCCCAACATTTTTAAACATAATTTCCAGCAGAAAATAAAATCTTACAATCTTACTTAATGAACATGAATTATGGAGTTGATTTGTGTTTTACATTTGCTACGAATAAACTGACTTTTTATTTGCAAAAAACAATAAATAGATTTAAATCTGGAGTGACTAGTCACTTCTAGCTAAGAAGAGAGTTGAAGAGTAAGGCAACTTATTTGTTTGTTTATAGGGGCAGCGTACATTAATTAACAATTACATTTTAATAACATCAATGTAAATGTGTCAGATAGTCTGTGTCTAAAATCCCAACACAATTAAAAATTGACAAATGGATAAAAAAAACATTATACATAGTAAAGTTGCAATGAAAATAATCCTATAAAAATTCTTCACACTGTTTTCTTTTTTCTCAGGTGACCTGGAGCTTGTTAGTAATGGGACTCGACGCCACACCAGAGATGTTGGGACCACATTCCCTTCACCCGGTGAAGCCAGAACATCCAGGCAGATCTCATCTTCCTCATCCAGCTTAGAGAGAGGAAGAGGAGGGCAGAGGAGCCCCTCTAAGACGCAGGGGTTACAGAAACAGAGAAGGAGCAAGAAAAGCCCGTCAAAGACCCAAACTGAAGGTACGTCAGACTGCAAATGAGGTGTCTGTGTTCTTAGGTATTATATTTGTGCAAGTATTTATACAGTATTTTTATGCCAGAGTAAAACTGAATCATTGTGTTGATTTGGCTGGTTTGAATTTTCATGGTCCTTTCCAGGTGTTTCATGGTTCATATCTGCTGACGACCTGAGGTCAGAGGCGAGGAAGGAAAACCGTCCAGAGGAAGAAGAGTCGTCATGGAGGCCAAACACTGCCTGGTTTGAACCGTACAGCAGAATCAATCCATGGAGAGAACCGCTTATACAGAGACAAGTCCACGAAGACAGAAACAAACAGACCAGTTTTGTACCTCATGCTGAACCTGATTTAGATTCAAGAAGCAAAACAAAGTCCTCTGGTCTGGCACGTATCTCTCTCCAGGTTGGTTTGTATTTGTCTGTACAAAACATCACTTAACAGGCTCTTGATTAGGAGAATTGTTCATTTAGTAGATTTAAGAAGTGAGAAACTCGTCTACAAATTGGCTGTTTGAAGAAGTGTTTCAGGTTGCTCCACAGGCCTGGCTGGTTAATAAAAGTACAGACGACTAATTAAAACATTTTCAGGTCAAGTTTTATACTTTGTCACGTTAGGAAGATTAAAGCCCCTCAAAATGTCCTTATTACATTAAATATGCATGACTAAATGTGCAACAGTCAAAGTAAAAAAATATCTTTAAATGTTATTTATTAAGTGTTTAACAGCTAATCAACTTTGAGGGTGTGATTTGATCAGATCCTGTTAATTGTCTTTTCTTAACTGAACCCTGTTTACTTACAACCAGTAGGAAGAGCACAGAGAAAAAAAGAAAATACAGAAATCTTTTTAATGTGAAACAACCAAAACTGTAGAAGATGGTGTGCTCATGTAGAATAACATCGCTTATAGTAAGAAGCAAATTGATATAACTTTTTAAGATAAAAAAGTTGGGTGTCTGTTCTGATTTAGATTTAAATTATTTTAAGTTTTATTTCAGATAGGAGAGTTGAGATAGACAGGAAATGAGGGAGTGAGAGTGGGGACAACATGCAGCAAAGGGACACAGGCTGGGTTGAACTCCAATGGTGCCCTTTTTAAAAAGCTCTTACTATTATCCCTTTTTGCTCTGTGAAAACATTTATGCTCCTCTTCATCCCTGCAGGAAGCTCTGGAGATGCGTCGTCCAGAGTTCATCTCTCACTCCAGGCAGAGGGTGAGGCGCTTGGCTCTGCAGGTGGAGGAGAGGAAGCTGCAGGAAATCCTCAGCAGAGAGAGAGACGAACTCTTCAGCCAGCCTGGAGGACCAGAGAGGCTGCCAAGGCCTGCAGGTACTCAACAACAAACCCATCCAATCTGCTGGATTCTTTAGCTCGTGGCGGCTCACAGAATCACAAGTGTCTCTATTTTTTGTGTATGAATTGAGGTGTTGCAAATGTTCTGACAGCTACATACACAGCCACCACTGTAAAGAGGAATAATGTTTTTTTTCTTTTAGAAATTATCCATTTTAAGTAGTATTATTTTAAAAACTGGAAGTACTTTTTCCTTTGGTCTCCCTGTTAAGGCACCGCTCTGCTGAGGAGAGCTGTTCCCAGGAAGGAGATGATACAGAGGTCCAAACAGTAAGTTTTATGTTTTGGATATAATCTTATTAATTATAATAACAATATAAACTTTGACTGTTTTTTTTGTGTGTGTGTCTTAACGCCGTCTCTTCTCCAGGATTTATGACAATCTGCCAGAGGTGCAGAGGAGGAAGGAAGAGGAAAGAAGAAAAGCAGAGTATCGATCTTACCGGCTGAACGCTCAACTCTACAACAAGGTACAACGCAAAGAGCTTCATTCACAAAGTCTATAATCTGTGTTACAAGTCAAATTTATTTTAAGAGCTGGTTTTATATCAAAGTAGCCAGTAGATATTTTAACTAGCAGAAGTAAAAATATTTGACTAGAGCGAATTTCATGAACTGTTTTCCTGAACATGTATCAAAGACTGACTTTACGTAACAGTCTGTATTAATGAATTTAATTAAGTGTTTCCTGTCTTTCAGAGAATCACCAGCCGAGTCCTGGGCAGACGAACAGCATGGCAGTGATCAAACAGACCAGTGAAACTTTTTACTGTAGATGAAATCAATGATGTGACAACATATTTACAATTTTAATAACATTACGAACAAAACTACCTAACTTAACTAAAAACTAGCTTTAATTTATGTGACCATTTTTTTTAGTTGCTATTTGAAAGATTATGTGGAAAAGTAGAATTCTGCTTTTTACTTTTTCCTACTTAAAGACCAGTGGAATGTTTTAATTGGTTAAAACTTGAAAGGATGTTTTAATGTAAAAAAAAATAAACCACATTTTGCAGATTCTTTAACACTTTTTGCTAAATTCCATGTATTGCTTCAAGACAGTCAAGGCTGACAAAGGCACATTGGCTTTAATGTCTTTATTGATCAGTTATTGGCTGTGCAAGAGAAGGAAGCCACACAAGGAAAAGGTAAGACAAGTTAGACAAGCTGCAGATTCAGCACATCAGCTGCTCACAGAGAAAACAGATAAATTACATAATGAATAAATAAGAAATTTCTGTATTTTCTCTACTACAGTTCTGTAGATGCACTATACTCATTCATTATAAAATAACACTTAAAGTTATGACAGTACTGGGTAAACATAAATACTCTAACAAATATTTAAATAAAATAATTTATCAAGGATTAATAAACTAAAAGCCTTTTAAAATCAGCGATGGCAAACGTTGGTGAAGAGAAACAAAGATTCTTTGGCAAAGATGTATTTTTGCTTCAAACAAGGTTTTAAACAAATCAAAAATAAGGCAGGTGACCGCTCTTAACCACAAGGCTCTCTGCAGGTTTAAGGCTCGGACAAAGTTAAAGTCTGAAACAGCAACAGGAATCTCAGCAGAACAAAGTCGTTTCTGGATTTTTGTAAATCAGTAACTTTACCAATTTATACTAAGCATGTAAAAGTAAACGGTAACAATGTACTGAAATTTACACCACGAGTGTAATAAATACTAAATAATTTAAACCATATAATGCTTCATCATCTCTGTTTTCAGATAAACATGAAAAATCTGCATTTTCCACAGTAAATCCCTTGAGGTTAATCAGCTTTTCTTGTTCTGTGCAGTCCACAGGGTTTTAATCAAACCACAGCAAAATACAAAATCCTCAACACACACTATAGTTTGCATGCATGTAGCTTCATTGCTAAAACTATTTATCATTAGACCATCAGTGAAATGTCTTTGCAACAATAAAGTTACATCCAAGTAAAGCAAATGTGCAGGATTTTGATCTCCTCTATGGTTTCTCCTGTCATTCAAGACTTGTTATATGTGCAAAAAGTCTCTATATGAAACCACAGTAAAATTATTTTTTAAATCACTTAATCCTTCTTTCCCTTTAGACAGTTAAGTTACAAAAATGGAGCACACAACAGTGACACCTGATTAAAATTTACAACACAGTCATCTTTCTTATCCTGTTTAGCATTAACAGTAGCATAGAAACGTGGAGCAACATCCAATGTTCTGGCCTAACATAAACCAAACTGCAGGTCCACACCATGGCCAAAGAGGAATTTGATAAATATTCTACGCAACAAAAAATTCTGTGAATCTGGGCAGCATGCAGCAGCGCTGTTGCAGGTCTCACTACTTCTGTATCTGGCAATAAAACTAAATTTTAAGAGCATGGAGTCATGATCACCTCACACAGTATGTAAGTTACTGTATGTAGGGCTGTATCATCCAAGTCACTTTGAAAACTTGATTTAAGTTGAATTTGATTTGAGATCAATGAAAGGGCACATTAAGAAAGATCAGCTGAATGCCCAAAAGTTTCCGCTTTTGTCACTGTGAAGTTGCAGGTTTACAGGAAGGAAAAGATTTTTGATTTTAGTACATCACTAATTGCATATGCTGCTTTCCTGGTGTGGATTTTGCTTTAACATTTTCAGAAATTAACAGTTGCAGTGATTTATATTCAGTATCCGCTCCTAAGTGACATTTTGAAATTTCTTCACATTTTTCTTTTTGACAGTCCAAAAGACATTCAGTTTACTGTCATATATGACAAAGAAAAGCCGCAAATCAATGACTGATTTGCATTTTTGTCTGAAAAATTACTGAAATAAATAATCAGTTATCAAAATTGTTTCCAATTAATTTTCTGTAGATTGACAAATCGATTAATTGACTAATAATTTCAGCTCTAATTGTAAAATTGCCTGAGACCAAGAAAAGGCAGCATCAAAACAGGTTAATGACCTAAATGACCTAGAGATTAGACTGGTCTCAAACAGCCCTGACTGTCGCAGATTAACTTGATGATTTCCCACAGGTTGTAATCTCACCACTAGTGATCTGAAATGCCTCCTGGTTTCACTTGTTTGGCCCTGGAGTGGAAACCAGGCTACCAAGCTGATGATGGGGGGCGTGTTGTGTTGGTGCAGCAGGCAGGATCGTAGGGCAGGTGAAGTTTAGGTCCGCAGCAGACTGTGAACTCTCTGCAGCTGAAACTGCGACAGGACGAGGCGGTGGACCTGCTCCTGACCGCGGGCACACGGCACCATGACCCGACCCACCAGCACCGTGTCGCCCTGCTTCTCCTCCTTCGCCTAAAGACAGAAAAGGGTTAAATATTAGATCTGCAGAGAGATGATGGAGTGCGGTAAGTCCCCATATCAACATCTAGTGGCCCAAGACTGAATCCGGCCAGATCCTTTTGACTTCTGCCTCTCCTACTCTGCTCTTCGAGATGTCTAACTGTGCTTTGTTGGAGTAGCTACATCTTTTCTTTTTAAATTAATGAGAGCAGGTAGAGGCAGGTAGGTAATTAATTTGTATTGATGTGCTACCTACTGGATAGTGTTTACACAAGTAAGTACTGTTAAAAAATCTGGTTTAGAAAAGGTTTGTCTGATCTCTGCATCTCGCCAGCCTGCGAGGGAAAAGGCTGGAGCCACGTGTACAATAAATTCAGACAGCAGCAGCAAAATGGATCAAATAACATCAGTGAATGAGGACTAAATAATAAAACTCTTAATTTACATAGTACCTGTCATACAGAAAAAGTGATTTACATTAAAAAAGGAATAAAAACAGGAAACAACTTTGACTCAATACAAAGCAGGTAAAGATAAAGTGCTTAGTGCTTGCAGAGAAAACAAGCCATTTGAAAGATGGAAAAGGTTTGTGTGATCCTAGAAGAAATTAAATTGCTAAAGATATTTGGAAACCGTTTTTTGAGGCAAAAGACTGAGCTTTAAAATAAATGTCATGCTTTGAACTACAGCCTGATCATAAAGTAAGCATGGTGTAATAATAATAATAATATAATAATAATAAAGCTATTTCTATACTTAACATTTGTAGAGCTGTTACTTTTTTGGAAAAATGTAAGTGAATGAAATTTAACAGGAGATAACTTTGCATTTGATCTTTGCGAAAAACATCAAAATTGAACTGAATCATTTGATCATCCACCTGTGGTTCATTCTTAGATTGGGTTGTTGTGTGTTAACTATTTAAAATAACCTTTATAAACTCTGGTTATGATTAAATGTCTGGTTTACTCTCATGCTAAAATGAAAAAAAGTCAGTTTCACACCTGCATAAATAATTTGATCAATTACAAATAAAGAATTTCAGGGTTACAAATTATTGTCAAAAACAGCAAGACTATGACTGTGACACTTTCATTCACCTTCTATGAATCCCTACATAAGGGTCAAGTAAGTGATGAGCTGTGACTGGCAGTGCGTCTGTAGCGGCTCTCTTACCTTAACAAACGAGGTCGAAGGAAACGTCGCAAAGTCAGACGTGACTCGAGCTCCAGGTTGCTGGTTGACGACGTGCTCTGCTACTTCATCCTGACAGGATGCGTAGAAAAAAGAAGAAACATGGAGGAGGAAATCTGAATTTGTCTTAAAGGTGAGTAGGCAGGTTTTTTTGTACTAAATGTTTTAGGTGTGTTTTTTGTTTATTCCCTTGTGTTTTAAAGTCTTGTTGGATGAGGTCATGAAGATGTGTAGGGCTGTGTGTGCATACCTTCAGTCTGCCCAGAGTATCACTCAGGGACTGCAATCTAGCTGTCTGTTCCAGGAGCTGAGCGCTAGGTGTCACTGCAGGACAAACAAAAACATCTGTTATTCAAACCTGCTTCTCTCTTTGAGCAGTAATTCTTCTTTTCTGTATTTTAAATGTACTAACCCTGTAAATATTGTTTAGTGTCATTTATAAAAAACAGAATGAGACAAAGGGAGGAGGGGGGCGGGGCAAGCATAAGATTTTGAAGACACACTTTTATTTTTCACTGCACTCACATACCTGGAGACTTCCCGGTGATGTCCACCACCTTGACGTTTGCGCTCATTTGCAGCAGAGTCTCCAGGAGCTGGTCGGTCTTGCGGTAGAGGGCGCTAGAGAGCACTTCAGGACGACCTCCAGCTCTGGAGGGAATTTTGGTCACGCGAAGAGGAGGCAGAGAGGCGAGCTGAGCGCGCATCTTCTCAGCCTGCGAGGGAAAATATGTTACTGCAGCCACATACACACAATATATCCATACAACCGCAAAATGGATCAAATAACATCAGTGAGTAAAGACTAAATAATACCATAATAATACATACTTTATTTCTATAGCACCTTTCATACAAAACATGCAGCTCAAAGTGCTTTTCATTTAAAAAGGAATAAATAAATTGAAAAGAAAGCAGCTAAAGATTAAGGGCTTAGCATTGCAGGGAAAATAAGTAATCTGAAAGCTCAAAAGAAGGAGATTTAAAAGCATAAAAAGGCCATTTTTAAACACGTGGGGCTCCATGTAGCCTAAAGCACGTACATCTTAAGAAGTGGTGCAAGAAAAGGGCTTGGTTAAAAACATGTTTTAAAGTGCTGTTTAAAAACAGCTTTGTGCTAAAGCAAGTTGCGTTTCCCCCGAGTTCTGAGTAACTATCTTGCTAAATTTGTTAAACTAATATTAGCTACTTACAACCCCCCCACAAAAGTAAAGTTTTTTTTAAAATATGCCTTTCTTTCTCTATGACTTTGAGGGATCGTCATTAAATAAAGAAAAGGTTAACGTTTGCAACAAGTCAGATGTTGTGATGGTGGAGAGATGATTCGCACCTTCAGTCTGTTGTTGTCGTTCTTCAGGTGTTTGATGCAGAGTCTCTGAGCTTCAATCTGCTGAGTCAGCAGAGGAGAGTCGATCACCTGGATGCCCGACCCTGAACCGACACTGGACATCATGTTTGCTGCGGGACCGAGAGCAGGTACACGTTATGAACACCTGACTGGACCCGAATCTCATTTATATATGGAGTGTTTGCTAAAAATAAACACTC